ATCAGTAATAGCGGCGCACAGCATCTCCACCTCCTGCTCCCGGACGGATTGAAACGATCGCACACGCCTAGGGCTTAACAGCTCGACGACGCAGAGCTTGCGAGCCTGCCGCCAGTTCTCGCCGTACTGGGCGAAGGAGATGTTGGAGTTGTTAAAGGAGAGTTTGGTTCCTACTTTGAGAACAGGCCGGCCGGAGAAGATGATATCGTGGGATTTAAAGATGGATTTGAGGGTTTCGCCGGAGGAGACGACTAGGGTTGGGATGAACCCGAGTTGGAGAAACATGAGGGGGCCGTGCTTTTGGGCAAGGCGGAGGAAGGATCGGTGAGGCGTTGAACCCACCTGGTGGAGGTTGCCGATGATGGGGAACCTCCATGGACCTGGAGGCAGCTTTTTCCCTGCTCTGTTTCCTCCATGAAGCTTTCTCAGGAATAAAAGCGCGAAGGCGAGAAGGAAGACGAGCAGCAGAGCAAATGGTTCCATGTCTCTGAGGGCAGCTGACTATGGATGAACTCTTAGGGGAAATTTTAGAAATCGGGCATCCTATTATTAATAATAACAAAAATAAATATTAAAAAAAAAATAAGAGTAGATCCGGTCGTCGATTACAAATTAATTTTTTAAAGCTATAAATCATTTTCAATATTATTTTTTTATTTTTATTTTACTTTGAAAGTATTTGTTTTAAAATATAAAAATATAAAATGAGTTATATAAATAAAATGCAAATTAAAATTGAGATCAATAGAGTGATAATTTAAAATGAAAAATACATTATATTTTAAAGTGGAAGATTATTATTTTTATTTTGATAGAGTTTATAGATTTAAATAAATTTTAATATTTATATAATCAAAACAAGAAGTTCATAGAGTAAGCTTAATTTTATTTTAAGTTTTATGTTAAATACTGCTGATCTATTATTTAATAATATGTTATGAATACATACCGATGCTATTAGCAAAATTAATATTGGTAGTATAAGATTCTATCTCGTACATACGATGCTTGAATAGTATTATTTCTCCGATATATTTGCAGGCACATACCTGTTACATTATCTGAGCTGTATTGCATTAACGCTCATTTAATTACTATTATAGTAGGTGGAGAAGATTGGATATCTAATGTGATTGAGATCCTTACAATATTAGTTATATTTAACATGTAACTAATATGTGGTTAATATAAATCATTTATTGTGTTATAAATGAGTAGCACATTGAGCACCCCTATTTAGGTGATTCAACAACACGTGTAGTAAAATATCGAGACGAGTTGCATCTTTTCCTACTTGTTTGCTACATTATGTGCCACAAAATTTTCATGTCATTTTTTTGTTAATGCTTTGATAGTGACTATTCATCTATCGCGGAGTATCCAGGAAAGATTTGTTGGCTATTATGAATGAAACAAATGAACGCTTAGGGCATCTCCAACCGAACGCCAAACGAACGTTTGGCGTCATTCCTTCGCTCAAGACGAACGCCAAAAAATCCTCCATTTGCTTGCTGGTGAACAGTGCAACGTCAATATTGGCGTTGCACTGTTCACCCACGCCATTTTTCTCTGTCAACCGGAAAAATGCGGGAAAGGAGAAGGGTCGTTACCTTGGCGCATAAGCAAAAAAATGGAGTTGGATTGGAGCAGCACCACGCCATTTTTGCTTTTTGCGGTATTTTGGCGTGAAAGATAGAGTTCTCGGTTGGAGATGACCTTATGTGGAATGGTCGATTGATAGTCCACTTAAGATGAAGGCCAAGATTAACGATGTTTTTCAGTTTTATATGGATATCAGATAAAGATGATATAAAAATTTTGATAGAAACATAAAAAAATGGCTTTAAATGCAATTTTTATCGTTTAATATAATTGAATTAAATTTTGTACTCACGTTTAATTTTATTATATATCTTAAAAAAAATATATTATTTATTTTTGTAGGGTTTGTCCAGGACAACTTGACGTCCAGAAAGAGACGTTTAAAGTTTTGACCGTTGAATCAATGCATAAATGGCTTTTGTAATTTTTTTTTGGGGGCAAAAATCAAACAATAGAATTTCGCTTTGGGAGCTTCTTATAAATAAATAAATAGTAATTACATATTCTTTTAACTAACAATAAATAATTAATTTAAATTTATTTGTGAGATCATCTAATTTAAATTTTGAAGCTTTTAAATATGCTTCAAGTCTTTAATTTGGGCTAAGATTTGATTAATTTTAGTGCCGTTGGATTCATTTCTTTGAGACGTTGAGTCTGACAATAAATTTGCTAAAATAAAAGTCCGAATGATCCCAAATTTAATTTCGGAATGAGATCCAGGTCTAATTAAAGTGATTTTTGGTGATATATCAATACACTATACTGAAGAAAGATTTGTGATTTTTTTTTTATTGTACGAAAATTTTATCTCCCTATTTATATGTGTGAGTAGATCTCTAAGAAATATGATATTTAAAAAATAATATATAAAAAAATATCCAATTTGTGATCCTCATATCCACATGGAAATTTTTCAATATGGGATTAATTCATATTTAATTGTTGGATGAATATGCATTACTTGATTTTGCCGATAAGTTCACCATAGTGATGACTTCTTCTTTTGATAGTCTCTAGGGCTTATGAAGGCTAGTCTTGACAACTTCAATTGTTGGGCTTATTGAGTCAATGACCTAGTTTACTTGAAATCGGCTCAAATAATTTCAATGTATAATAAAATCATAAATAATTAACTAAAAAATTAAAAAAAAAATATCTACATTTTTCATAACTATCGTTAAGAGGAGAAATTATAATGTGCGGCACCGTCCAGAAGCTAATCAGAGCGCTCCAAATCACCATTTTACTATGTACCGCAAAACGCATTCTGATTCATCTCCAAATAATGTGGTGACCATACATAATAATTTCTCCACTAAGAGACCCTTAGTTGTCCATAAATTAACCTTAATTATTGCATGACAACTTAAATTTTATAAATTATTATTAACATTACAATTTTTTCCTGTTTAAAAAAATTTGAGAAAAGCTTTAATAAATAATTTGATCTTAAAAAAAAAAACATAAAACAATAGCCTAATAGAACAAAATTAGCTTTCCAAAATATCAATCCAATGATTATGCTTGTAAGAGCAATGAAAAATAATAATAATAAACAGAAAAGAGCAAACAAAGTAAATATCTAATTAATGATGCTAAAATTTAAAACTAAATTAAAAAAAAATGGTAAAATAAACCATCAAACTAAAAAAAAATCCAAAAAAGCTGATAAATATAGAGTAGATATTAATTTCTAATTACATATAACCAAGTGATAGTCAATTTGAATTCATTATTCTGCAAAATATTTATCTTATTTCAAACAAGCAAAATGTTCTTACCAGTTGAAACTTGGTAGCGCTAAGTTTTCTCGGGATTCATCAGTCGAAGGTGCTTAATTTTGGTGGAAGAATTCTTTCGCAGGTACGGTTTTCAAAGACGAAGCCTTCCCTTCGCTGCGCTTTCCTCCTCCGCCTTCTTCTTCATCATCAAGAACTAGAGATCCAGATCGTAATAGCTCCTTGACCTTCCTGAACTCATCGTAATGAACCCGTCGATGCTCCTTGAAGCTTAACCTTCCTCTTTCAGCTTCAGGATCTGAATGAAATAAAATATAGCAGATGTTATATGAATAAAGTAAGTATTTTGAAACAATCAGCTTCTGATTCCATCCAATTAATATAACGTTAGATAATGTAATATAGGTGAAAGAGATGAGCGGATTTCAACTTCAAGCTGAGGTGAAATTTCTCTTAACAACTTTCTTGCTTCTTTATAATGCAGCTTTTTAGTATTAAAATTTCTTGAATTAGAATTTTTGTACTAAAAAATTGTTTTAGCAAACAATAAGAAAACTGTCCCAAACGAAGTCTTAAATGAAGCCTAAGGCTTCATTAAGGATTTGTTTGGGACGGCTTTTTTACTGCTTTCTAAAGCAATTTTTTAAGTACAAAATTTTTTTAAATTAAAAAAATTTGTACTATAAATCTGCTTCAAAAAGAAGTAAGAAAACTTCCCAAATGACAGCTTTTTACTGCTTTTTAAATAACTTTCTAGTACAAAATTTTTGAAAAAAAAATATTAAAAGGCTTAAAAGAATAAAAGCTACTTTAGAAAGCAAAAAAAAAAACTGTCACAAACAAAACCTTAGCCTTTTGGGAGGATGCAACTGTCTGCAAAAGTTATTGTATTGTAGAAGTGTGATGGAGAAATTAGAGTTTTTAAAAGTTATTTTAGAAATTATATACTTTTTCTCTTTTCAAAAAGCTAGAAAAAGTTTTTCTGATAACTAGTATACTCTTAATAGATCAAGCTACAAAAGTTATTTCTCATCATAAAAAATTTCTGAGAAGTATCAAAAAAGTTTTTACTAAACAGGATAAGACATCTATTAAAATAGTAAAATAATGAGAAAGCAGTCAAAAGATGGCGGCCGTTTGCAAATCTTGACAAATGTCCTTTGTGCGATATGATCAAATGAGAAACAAACTTTAGCTATGGCAACAAGTAAAAATCTGAAGTATCACACATTTGAATTTTCTTATTAGATTGTAAATAATGTAGGAAAGAAAATACCTAAGATCTTAAAAAAAGTAACTAGTAGCAGATGTGCTGCAAGTCCAAGACAAAATTAAGCATTCGTAAATATAAATCTCAATAAAAACAACTACAGCGATCGCACTAATAAAGTTGTCAATATATTATAAGACTAAACGTTGGAATCCTCAAGGATCCATTTTGTAACTATCATTGTAAATCTTACCAATCAAATAAATTCTTGTTAGCATTTTAACGAATTAATAAAAAAATTGACAATCATAAAATCATCAGACAAGATTCTGAGACGAAAGCAAGATATAAAAGATCTGAAGCAAGATTATGGAGCTGAAATGGAAGAATAAGATTTCGTTTGGGACGGCTTTTTTATTGCTTCTTAATGCAGTTTTCTAGTACATAATATATTTTTTTATACTAAAAAGTTGCTTTAAGAAGCAGTAAGAAAGCCGTCCCAAACGAAATCTAAGAAGCCAGCAATTACTCAAAAAGCCTCATTTAACAAACAATAAAGACAATAATTATAAAAGAGTAATGTAATGACCTTCATCTTGTTCCATGGCATCACATTCTTCTTCTGATGATGTCCAACCTTCATTCCTAGAAATTATTTGACTTGAAGAAGCCACATTACTTAAAGCATTTGCAATATCCTCAGCATTCACAGGACCTTCAATACATTCATCAAAAGCACATCTTGGTGATAAGGAACCTACATAAAAAAGCAGAAGTTGAACAGAAGTGCTAATTTATTAAATTAATTAAAGATAAGTGGAATGAAAACATATAGACAGGCATACCATCATCATCAATCATAGGGTGGTATGGCGTCTTGGGTTCAGTGATTTTTTGCCTCACCGGTTTATTTGATTCAATCTCATGCAAGTTTGCCTCATTCCATCTCACACGATTACTGATCAGTAAGAAGTATAAAAGGTATGCATGTTAGAATGAGAATAAGGCTTCGTTGGGATGGCTTTCTTATTGGTTCTTAAAGCAATTTATCACTAAAAAGTCGCTTTAAGAAGCAGAAAGAAAGCCGTCCCAAACGAAGCCTAACAATCTCAACCATACCTAGAGTATAGTAAGCTGCTAAAACAGAAAGCAATTTCTATCAGGTCGGTAGAAGAATCTGTTAAAATTCCAGATGATCACAAAAGGTACGCTCATTTACGAAGATAGGCTGATCTAGCAATATGGTTTTACTAGAGTATCCGATGTCTTCAAGTTTAGCCATCAACTAACAACATTGAGCGTTCCCAACCCCTGTTGTTTGACTGCATTTAAGGTTTTGTTTGGGACAGCTTTCTTACTACTTCTTAAAGCAACTTTCTAGTACAAAAGTTTTAATTTTTGTACTAAAAAGCTACTTCAATAAGCAATAAAAAAGCCATCCCAAATGAAGCCTAAAGCTTGCAAGCTGTAGGCTCAAACAGGTTGTTACTTGCCCATAATTAGACTCCAATGAGTCAGGTCCAGCCCAAAGAATCAAGCTTGGCAGGCAGACTTGATCATGGGTATCACAAAAGGGCAAAACTGTATTTGAGTCATTGTTATGCATTTATGTATTGTAGTTTATTTATTTGTTATTTACGATTGTACCCTTTCTTTTGAGTTTGCTTGAGTTGTAGCCCAAGGGGCATTTGAGTCATTGTTATTTTATTTTCTAGGCATATATATTGTGGCCTCTTTTATTATAAAAGGATGATGATTATGAATGAAAATTTTCAGATTTTCTTGCTTGATCTCTTCGTGAGTTCTTGAGGGGGGAAACCCTAGGAGAGGGCCTTACAACACCCGTCAGCCGCTGGTGGATTCCGGGACTCGTGGTTAGTACTCGTATTATTTTCTTATCGTTTCTTCATTTCCTCTACATCCGGCCACCTCTTCTTCCCCAAACACCAGCCGTCCACTTCAAGTCCTCAAGCCGTCGGTCAACCTCAACAAGATCCCTTTCCACTTAACCTTAGCCAAACGCCACCCAAACCCCAAACCCTAACCGCCGGCCTTCCCCTCCCATGGATCCAAAATTGATTGTCTTGCCTCTTTCCAAAAGTGGAGCATGAAGATTAGGAGGGAACTCCAATTCAAAATCTGATTTCAAATTCAAATTTTGAATTCTTTCCTAAATTGACATAATCAATATTAGGAAAGTGTTCAATTCGTGGATCTAACTTACCTAGCCCAAACCCTTGGCCGCCGGCTTGAAGCCTCCAAACCCCGCCCCTTTCTCTCCCTAACCCACCACCCTCACCACCTATATAAGCCGCCGGCCTCCCCTCATCTGCCCGCCACCGGTTTCCCCAAGCCCCCTCACTATCGGCCTCCCCTAGCCTCCACTAGCCGTCGGCCCCTCCCTACCATGACCCTTGAATTTTGAATTTCAAAATTCAAATCAATCTTAATTACTTTCCTAATTTATCCCACTATTAATTTGGAAAGTTGGCTCATTTGAATTCAACTTATATTTGACTAATTTATCTCACTATTAATTTGAAAAGTTGCCTCATTTGAATTCAAATTATATTTGAATTTCAAAACTTTCCCTATTATCCAACTTAAATTAGGAAACCTCTCAATTACATTAAATTTGAAATCAACTTCAGATTTAATGACAATCCCTAATTAAATCCTCCCCGGGCCCATACATTGAACCTAGAAACATCCAAGCCCCCCCCTCCCCCTCCCCCTCCTTTCTATGACCGGCCCTCTATGGCTCTTCTCTCTCTCCAATTCTCCCTTTAATTCACATTAAATATTCCCCTTAATTCCCTCCCAAACCGCCGGTCCCATTATAGCCCAAATTGGGATAATTTTGAAATTCAAATTGAAACCTCCCCTCTCTTAGTAAAATATGAATTTAACTTCAGATTTTCTAAACCCCTCCTTCCATCTCACTAGACCTAACCCTAGCCGCCCACTCCCTTTTCCTTCTCCACCCCAATTCTCCAAACCGCCGACCCCACTGTTCTCCTTCTCCTTTTCCACAGCCGGTTTCCCTTCAAGGCCACAAAGAACAAAGAAGCTCCTCCTAGTCCATGGATGTTGGATCATGAAGTCGATCTCGGATTCATATATGATAACCAAGGAAGGATGGACATTCCTCGATCTACCTTCTTCAATTTCAACTTGAACGTCGACGACTTTGTGGAACACTACATTGACCGCATCACCTTCACATTGGCACCAACAATTGAGGAGCACCTCCCAATCGGATCATGGTTAATTGTGAGACGCCCACAAATCCTTCCGTCGCCGGCAACCTTTCCATCAACGAAGATCATAGGCTTCTTCTTCCTAGTGGTAATCTCTTTTCTAGTGTGGAGTATCTTCTTCCGTTAACCTCACGAGTGAATGAGTGAGAAGGTCCTCAAGGTGAAACCTCTTGTTATTAAATTGTGGATTTTTATTATGCTCTCATAAAAGTTACTCTTGTCTTTGAAGTTTGATCAATTTGTCTTGCTAATATAACGTGCACTGCTTTACCTAAGCAAGTTGAAAACTACAAATCTCTAAAAAATTTCTTTGTTGTGAATGGTAATTTTATATTGGAAAGCTTTTAACAATAGCTCTTCTTAATTTCTCATTAACTCCTGGTTGTTTCACATCATGGCATTTAAAACTTTCCCATTATTTCTACATTTTTGGGGTAAGGAAAACAATCCAAGAAAGAGATATGAAGATATGCATTAATCAATAACTCATTAGTTATATAAAGTCTTATATATCCATAAGATGATATAATAAAAAAAATTCTAACATGGTATAAGAGAAAATGTAATTCAACCCTAGCCATCTGTCACCGTCCTCTCTCCATGACCCTAAAAATCGTCTCATGCCCTCACAATCCCACCAACACTCACCTTCACACTCAGTTCCTCACCACAAAGTTCGTCCCAACATGCCTCAACGTATGTTTTCTTAGGATTAGGGCATCTTGAATTTGGCTGAAATTTGATCTCTCTTAGGTACTTGAGCTCTAGCCGCCGGTTAAGGATTGGGAGAGTCGGATATTCCTCTCGAATTGAAGATCCATTTTATCTTGCTTACTTTTGTTTGTCTTTCATCAAATAATTTTTTTTTCATTATTGTTTGTCTTCCTTCTTCTAAAATATTGCTTGCAAGGGGCTGATTTTCTCGGATTTCAGCGAGGGTTTTTTAGGTTTATACAAGTATTTTCTATAATCTAGCTTGAAGAGAAGACATAGGTAAATTAATATATTTAAAAGATGATTTTATAATTATAATATACCTTCCTAACTGGGAATATTCTCCTCTCGATTATCTTTATTTTTTTCTATTTCTTTATATAGAGGCACTTGTATTTAGTTAATAATGAGTTTTTTGTTTTCTACTAACAACAACGCAACTACCATTGTAAATTGAAAGAAAAAAAAAAAAAAAAAAGAGGAGATACCAACAAAAAGTTATCTAGCGATGACCAAGGTCATTACCTTGACAACAGGGAGGACATAGGACTAGGGAGATATCTTAATATGAAAGCCACATTGGAAGGAGCAACTAGATCACCTCCTTTTTAGGAAGCGCTATTATATTTCTTGTAATTCCAAATTTCGAGTATTATTGCTATGTTGTAGGCCAGTAATTATAATTTGAAAAGGGGCTTTCTAGCTAACTTCAGGTAGAGAAACCCTATAAAGAGGTAAAGGTTATGTGGAGAAGAGTCATTCATAAAAAATAACAAATAAATTTTAGGAGAAGAAAAAATCTTCCATTATTGAAACCAAAAATAATCACTTCATAAAATACAAAGAATCTTAGGGGATCATCATTGAAGCTTCATTAGCTTTGTAAAACTTTATAATTTTTCTATGAGCTATGTCGGAAAAATAAATTTTAAAATGGCTAAACTCAGTAACATTAAGTGTTTAAGCATGTTCTACATTAATGAGTTGCTAATTTGATCCATTGATGTTATTAACTATATTATGTGTTCTTTTTTCGGTAATTGGATGGAAATTTATGCTACATTTAGATTAAGAGAATTTTATTGCTATTCAGGATCTTTTTCATAGGTGGACGGAAATTAATACAAAATTTAGATTGAGAGAAATAAATTGTATCATCATATGATTAATGGAATAATTGATTTTGAAATTGAAATATTTTTATTCATATGAAAAATATGACTTTGTATTCCTTCCGAACATTTGTCCTTCTTATTGCTGCTTATTGGGCTTCTTGAGGCCTACATGAAATCTATTTGGTTAAAAATTATTATTTAGAACCACCATATAAGCAATTATATAAAAGCCACTGCAAATTTAAAAGAAGCCACAAAAAAGGCTCGATTACCTAGTTTATAAGCCATTTTAAATAAAAGGGTTATAATTTGGGACCTACTTAAGCCAACTAGCTTGCATCATACCTGCGGTGGCCCGCACGCACTCCCTTGCTCGTGAGCCTCGCCCCCTCGCACGCTTGCCCCCTGCCTCACCAGCTCGTGCCTCGTGGACTTACGGTTAGCTGGTCAAGTAGGGTCAACCCGAGTTGGATTCGGATCCAGATATCTAACCCGGTTTGTAATTCGGGTTGGGTTCGGGTTAGCTGAATTGGACCCGGAACAATTTCAGGTTCGACCCAAACCTGACCTAAATACCCATTTTGACACCTAGACTCTTTCCCTTTGGTCGACCATTAAAATGCATAATGCCACTATTTTGGGCCAATGTTTGAAGGTCTGTGTATGGTAGATACAAATTTGATAAAGGTAGTTATACAACTATTGTGGTATTATAAACTTTTTTCTTTCTAAAGAAATCGAACAACAACTTTCTTATAACTATATTATAACATATTTGGTTTTCAAAAGCAATTTCCAACTACAAATTTTTTTGAAAAATAACACGAAAGCAATAGCCAAATAGAAATATAATTGAACTTAAAAAAAAGAAAATAATGAAAAATTACCCCAAATAGACCTTGGATTTCCTTATAAGATTGGAGACATTTTTTGATTGATTAGAAATAGGTCTGACCAATTATCTATTACTACCATTATTCCTAGGTTCAAATATACTAAACTTAAAGGTGTTGTATTCTGTACAAGTATTTATAGAGGTAGGGTAACAAGGAAAATGCTCTATTTCAAGAAAACTATGATTAGCTTTATCAAGGGACTTAGGATCGTATAGATTTATAGCATACTTGATTTATGGTTTTAGTCTATTAATGAACTTGGACATTACTACCTATGCTTTCCTAGGAAAACCACATTAGCTAAAAAATTCTTCAAATATTTTCAAGTGCTTTGTGACTATCAGATCATCCATAGATTCCTCGTTTTAAGAACTGCATTCAATAATAGGTTATGGTGCCGAATGTTAGGCTTAGCCATTAAAAGAGAAGCATAATACAAATGAGGATGCTCATGTGGATGAGTGGCTTTACCTTTAGAGATAGGATACAAAATGAGCGCATATACGTGAAAAGGTTGGAGTAGCGCCAGTGGAAGATAAGATTAAAGAGAGTTACCTTTGATGGTTTAGTCACATAAAACGGTGGCCTTCTGATGACTCGGTTAGGAAAGTAGATATATTAGATTTAACTTATGTTAAGAAAGGTAGAAGTAGACCTAAAAAGACCTGGGTTAGAAAATATTGAAATGATCTTTCTTTATTAAATTTAAACAAGAATTTGACTTTTAATAGAACAATGGAGGAAAAAGGATTCATGTAGCCGACCACACGTAGTGGAACAAAGACTTGATGTTGTTGTTGTATTCAATAATAGGTTAGCAAGTATTTCCATCGAAGTTGATGCTTAATTTAAATCCAAATACTTATAAAAGGATCTCTTGAACAATCAATGTAGCAATAATTCAAGGCCAGAATCTCTAGGAGAAACTAACAAGTATGTATTTGCAAATCTAATTTCTTGGAAGGTCAAATATATGATGCCAAGCAAAAGTTAGTCTATGTTAAAAAGACAACCAAAAGGCATTAGAATCATGTCTTCCATCAAAGGACATGTTTTCACTATTTTTAACTCATCATAATAGTCATTGTCACATCGCATCCAAGAAGAATTCTAAAACCTTTATCATGATAATGATATAGTGATGGATAATCAGCAATAACATCCTCATAATCTTGAGCAAAAATAGAGTCATGCTCTGGTTTAGGGCATTGCAAGAAAGACCTCTCAGAATGATTCTAACATAAAGTTGGGATTTTGAGGTGTTATAAGATTTCTATTTTTATGATGATGAGGTGGAATCACTTTGATTAATCCTGGAGTGCCTTACCTGCACCATAATGTCAATGTAATACAACTCTACCCAAGTGTTGACTGAGTGCTAGCTCTTTTAATGACTCATTAACTGAGATTCAAATGGTCGTTTTTCAAGCAAGTGTTGCATACGAGTTCTTCTAGACTTTGATTCCTGGCCAGATAAGTTAGAAGAATAACATGAGGTGGCTCAAAAGAATCTCTTGTAGAAGTTTTGATGTTCCCCAATCAGTGCAGCAAGATTCACAATGATGTGAGATGCCATGCTCAGACTAGAAGGAAGAAAAAATGCCTTATGCATGCAAACTCAAGTAATCATAAATGTAATACAAACTCAAATCACCAGCTGATGCCATAAATGTAATTAAAAATTTGCTAAAAACTAAGCACTTAGATGTTCTAGAAAGATTGGATAGTTAATCTATACAGGGCAGTATAGCAACTGGCATGAAATGACATGGAATTGCTGTAAAAATAGCAGGTTATATAACTAATTTCAGCGAGCTTCAAACAACAAATTTTCTGACATTGCAAAAGGAAAATAGAATGGTAATTCAGCAATTATGAAATAGAAACTAGCTTCCTGAAGCTTTGTAGAGCTACATGAGCATGGACCAATAGTTGTAAATAACCTTGTGTTAGACCGGTCCATTGGACTGGTCCAGCCGGTCCTACGGGACCGGCCCGTGCAAAACAGACGGAACTCTCCGCCATCCTTTATATGGGTTCTGACAGCCAGATCTGACAAAGCTGTTTTGGAAGGATTTTGAAGGGAGTTAGGGGGGGAATTAGGGACTGTTTAGAGATTTCCTTTTGGATTATATGTATTGAATAGTTTGTTTTCCTAGGGTTATGGCATCTTGAATTTGAATAAAATTTGAGATCTCTTAGGCTTTTTTAGGCTCTAGCGGCGTCTAGAGATTTGGGAGAGATAGATCCTTCTCTCGAATTGAGAATCAACTGTATCTTGGTATTTTCCCGCCGTATCTTTGATTATTGCAATAAAAATTATTATTTTTTTATGGTTTTCATTGGAGTTTGGAAGACTTTCTCGCTGTTTTTCCGAAATTGATAGGATTTACTTGAAATCTTCAAGTATTTCCTATCAAGTAAATCTTCAAGTATTTCCTATCACCTTACAAGCTGAGAAATAATTTAATCCCAAGTTAGCAAATCAAAGATGGATACAGTTATCATAGTTGACATTTGACAATCAATCATTCAATCGCTAGCTTGGTGCAAGAGCTCTTCAAGTAAATGATCCGAACTCCCAATGAAAGTAAGTGTATTCAGAAGAAATAACAAAGTAGAAAAGTGGGGTTGCCTTGGTATGCATTGGTCAGCCGCTATAGAAAATATGACGAACGAATAGGCTCACAAATTTAAAATGGTTCATTGAGCAAGCTCACTTGAACTGAACCAGGTTAGACTAGTTCACCATCCTTCTTGAACGAGTTAACAACCTCTTGATTAATTCTTTCCGTCGCCCAAAATGATTCTAGGCTAGTTTTGTTCACTTCAGATACTGACAAGGAATAGGATCTAAATGAAACAATAGATATTTGACTTCAAAACTTAAAGGATGTAAATGAGCTTAAATGCATTAAGCTGGAAAAAGAAAAGAAAGGTGGTAGGATGTAGAGCTACTTTTGGCATCAGCAGACAGCTGGCTACAAAAACGAGAGCAGAAATGATGGGTTTTAACAATACCGTGCTTAAACAAATAGGAGCATGAAAGAAAGTACAGGGAATGAATGCAGAAAAATGGTGCAACTTAAAGCCTTGTACGGATGGCATGTGGAGTTCAATTTCTTCAGAACTTAGGGGGCACAAGCTGCAAGTTGGGCAAGGGAGGCTTTAAAGAAAATCCATTTTCCATTTCATCTCATCAGGAATATCAAAATGATTTTCATGAGTGTTATGAATGTTTTGTCAGCAAAATTGATGCGCCAGAAAGGGTCACGGAAATGATCGCAGCAGCTGCAATAGTGAAGTTTGCTTGGCTTCAGGAAAAATAAAGGGAAGAAGATGGAGATAGAAAGGGGAATATGGCGATCAACTTCAAAAGTAGTTATTGTTACTAAAATATTTAATATTTTAATGCTTCAGCACAGATAAAATGATTGACAGAGCTTTCTTTTTTTTTTTTTGGGAGATCGTCACTAAATTCAAAACCCATGATTCATAGATTACCTTTTGCATCTTCAAATGAGGAAAATAAGTCTAAGTTCCACTAATAACCACCTTGTTGCAACAACATCTAACCCAGAGTATGTTATAGAACATTTTCGATTGCTAATTCGAGAATTACAATCTCTACCTATGAAACTCAACAAATGAAGGGCCAATGATGAGTTTCTTATTAAAGGCAACTTAGCTTATCGACAAGGGGTAATTCCTTGCCCTCTAGAGTGAAGAAAAGCTTATACGGCTACTTTGTACTCTTTCTTTGGGCAGACCTTGATATCAAAGAGTCTTTAGAACCTTCACCAATGGTTCTCTATCCTCATTTGATACCAGTAGCTCGACAACCTATCAAACTCTAAAGATTTTATATAGGAAGGAACCTTAGGTAAAGTACATATTGTTCTCATTGATAACATGGAAGACAAAAATAAGCACATGAAAGAAATATAATCGTAAATCAAACAGAGATTAAAAATAAAGAAAATAAATGATATTAGATGATCAATCAAGATGATAAACATATTTGATTGCCTGTTGCATATAAATGTCCTTGAAGTACTACCTGGTGAATTCTCAAATGGTCATCACACAATATGGCATTGTCAATCAACTCATGGGTAAATATGATATAATAAAACATCATCATACAACACTATTTTAATTGCAGGAGCGTATTGATATCAAAGGAGAAACCATAATTAAGGTGGCTCTCCAACAGGTTGAGCTGCACACGGTAACATTAGGATTTTCTCATCATGTTTCCCATCATGCAAACTACACCAATTTACATTTATTAGGTCAGTCTAAAAGTTGCACCGAAGGTATCCTATGAAACAATAGGCAACACCATGACTTGGCAAAAGCAGCCCTATAAGAAAGAATTGGTCGCATGATCAAGCATAAAAGGGTAAAAATGGTAATACAAGGAGAAGGAAGGGGGAAGGGTGGTTGTTGGTGTAACACGATTAGTGGCTTCCTCCTCACCCTTGATAAAATTAGTGCTAATTCTATTTCCATCAAGCAATGAAGCACAAGAATATCAAACAAAACTTTAGTCTTATCTCACCTAATTCCTTTCCTTTATTTGATAATAGTTAATACATGAAACAAAGCCATAGGGTTTTTGATAGCCACCCTATAAGGGCACCAAAGGCTATTATTTGATGAAATATATGTACTTGTATGTATTCATAATCATTATATTTCTTTATTGGATCATTTATTTACTTCATGTTTAGCATGTGTGCAATCAGAGCATGTATTTCCTACATTTTTCTTCGGGTTATTAAGAGTATTTTGGTTATTGTACCCCATAATATTAAAGTTATATTGTTCAGTTGATAAAGATTATGAATTTATTCCTACTACATTTCGATAACTTATCTAAGGATTTTTGATAGCCACCATATAAGAGCACCAAAGGCTATTATTTGATGAAATAAATGTAGTTGTATGTATTCATAATCATTATATTTCTTTCTTGGATCATTTATTTATTTCATGTCTAGCATGTGTGCAATCGGAGAATGTATTTCCTACATTTTTCTTTGGGTTATTAAGAATATTTTGGATATTATACCCCATAATATTAAAGTTATATTCTTCAATTGATAAAGATTATGAATTTATTCCTACTACATTTCAATAACTTATCAAAGGGTTTTTGATAGCAACCATATAAGGGCACCAAAGGATATTATTTGATGAAATAAATGTAGTTGTATGTGTTCATAATCATTATATTTCTTTCTTGGATCATTTATTTATTTCATGTTTAGCATGTGTGCAACCATAGCATGTCTTCCCAACATTTTTCTTTGGGTTATTAAGAATATTTTGGTTATTGTACCCCATAATAGATCTTTAAAGTTATATTGTTCAGTTGATAAAGATTATGAATTTATTCCTACTACATTTAAATAACTTGTCCTTTTCCTCTATTGTGTAAGTATTTGCAAACCAAGTTTAAGATATAAATTTAAAGTAATTGATACTTAAAAGGGTGGTAGATTGAAAACAGATCAATTGTAACATCATTGTATGCAAATAAAAGAAAAAAAGATGGATCTTAGAAAATTTTCTTAATTCATTTAGAGATAAACTTTTTTAAATGGAATTAAAAAAATCTAATCAAGGGTGGCACCTATGCCCAATTGCGTCAATAGGGTTGGTGGGAAGCCCCACCTCCCTCCTACCAACAAAAAACAAATTAAGTGCCAAATAAACTTGGCAATCAACAAAGAGGGCATGTAAGCAAGTGTGAGAGAACAAATGAAATAAATGTAGCGAGAGAGAGCAAGTAGGTAGAAGAGAAAGAGGAAGTGAATGGATACTTGGATAGTAATCTTGGTAGAGAGTTAGAGAGCTAGTGAGAGTACGAGAAAGTGCGGGACAAAAATGAGTGAGAAAAGAAGGGTAGGGAGAAAGAGTTGAAGACACAAAAGTTGGAGGATAGGGTCAAAGCCCATTTTAGGTGGCTAGTGATAGCTTCCTCCATTCTTTCCAACTTTAGTTTCCCCTCTCCCTCTATATTATTGTGCCTTTGATCACACTTTCTCGAGCAAGAGAGCGAGGCAAGGTGAGAGAGTGAGTTGGAGCAATCAATTCATTGGACTGGAGGACTCCATCAATGGGTGGTTGCACCAAGATTCTCCATCATTATCTTTTAGCCTAAAGTTGTGTTTCACCTAAACCCTTTCTTGAAATAACTATTAAGCATCCTTATCTTAGCCAAGGTATTGTGAGAATCAATCAACTTCATATGAAGATATACTTTAGACTTACTCATTATATATGGATTAAGATAGTTTATGATAAGATTTGGGTTGTGATACTAAATGTTATTGCACCTTAAATTGGCATAATCTAAAATTAAAACCCCTTGTTTGGTTAAGTGTATTCATAGGCTTATTATTATCATTAGTTGTATTATTTATTCTTTCTAGACAGTTAAATTTTATCGTGTTCAACAACAAATCATAATTTGGGATGGTTTCTTGATTAGAGTGAATTTATAAAGAAACTTTCGAATTTATCTAGTAAGATTTGTTCGCATATATGGTGGTTGATGAAACAAAATTAATTGATGGTGTAATGTAGGCATGGGGATTGTGACTTTGGGCGATCAAGTCATTAATAAGAGTACATGTTTTAGATATCTTGAGTATATTCTTCAAAATGATGGTGAAATAGATGGGGACATTATTAGTAGAATTCAAGTTGGATAATTGAAGTGGATGAATGCATTAGGCTTGTGTGATAGAAAAATCCCCCTTAAACTTAAGGGAAAATTCTATAAGATGGTGGTGAGACCTACAATGCTTTATGGTGCATAATATTGGCCATTAAAAGAGAAAAATAATATTAAGTTAAGTGTTGCAGAGATGAGGATGCTCAGGAGGATGAGGGCTTTACTCTTAGGGACAATATATGACATGAGCATATACGTGAAAAGGTTGGAGTAGCTCCAATTAAAGATAAGATTAGAGAGAGTCGTCTTAGATGGTTTGGTCACATAAAACGACAGCCTTCCAGTCCCGTTTAGGAAAGTAGATTTATTAGATTTAGCTTATGTTAAGAAAGGTAAAGGTAGACCTAAAAAGATTTGGTTATAAAATATTAGAAATGACCTTTCTTTATTATATTTAAATGAGAATTTGACACTTAATATGACACAATGGAGAAAAACGATTCATGTAGTCGACCCCATGTTGTGGGATAAAAGCTCGATGTTTTTATATTGATATATTATATTGGTAAAAGTTAGTCTATTGATATATATCAAAACATATTAAAAAGCATAGGAAGATATCCAAAGAGATTGGCATGACTATATTAGTAGTTGGTATTCATCATTATGTTTTACTGATGAGTATATCCAACGGGTCTCTTGGTGGAATGAAAGGTTCAAGCATGAGATGACAATCTCATTATGTGCTAGTTCTTGCTTGGCATACCTGGTGACCATACATAAATTCATGCAACTAGATGTAAATATGATATCAATAATATATATATATATATATATATATGAGATAGATACTAATAAAACATTGTTAAGATCCATCTAATTATTATGAATGCATGTTTTATTCTTCACTTCAAATACATACTGTAAATTGAATCATATCATTATTAGATACTTGCAATAAAAGCTAATTTATTATTGATCATATTATGTATATTATTAATGGCTTTAGATATGTTTCTCTTGTTCATATTGATTTAACTTTTTTCTAGTTACTTACTTACTTATATCATTAAATTTGGAATTATATGCCCAGTAAAACTTACCTTATCATATGATATTGCTTTCAAATAGGATTATTAGGTACACCCATTAAAGTCTTTATGATAAAATCAACTCCATGATGGTAATCTAAGTCTTGGATGGTCATTAATGGTATTTGGAAAGTTTTAATCCTTATCCAAATGAATGGTTGTAATAGTTTGATTTTAGTTAGTGTTATTTGTCGAGATTTAGCCCCTCTCTTAATAAATAGTTGTAATAAACTAATTTGCATTATGTCTGACAACTTGAATGTTGCTAGATTTGGTAACTTTGATGCGCCTTCGTGAATCTTAATTGTATGTGTAATTGACAAGTGGTTTATGATCACATATAAATGGGAGCAAGTCACATGCACAACAGAGAACAGCCGCAACCACTCTCACTTTTCAAATCAACAATTTATCTACAAATACACATCAACCCGAAAGCTTTAATTCCCTAAAAAATTTGCTTCTTATCGAATATCCAAAAATAGCAAGCCATTAGTAGTATTGTTTCAGTTGCAATCATTCAATTGATCTAGCTACATTAGATTCGATATGACGTTTTGCAATGAAGTAATTATTTGCCTTCTTTCATGATATCTTACATTTATAGAAAGGCAATACATTAGCAATCTGGGGAAGGATGAAACTTACGAGCCAGAACGAGGGAGTGACCAATTTAAAAGGCTAGGCTCCATCCACAATCTCTTATATGCTTGACAAGGAACCATGAGAGAGTGACAACGAACAGTGGGATCCACCAACAGTAACCTTCCAACCCCAACCCACCCCCCCCCCCCCCCACACACACACACACACACTAGAAAAAGAAAGACCTACTGCCAAACTCTAAATGTAGACTTTGGCAATGAGGATAAGACTTCTGGAAGGGTACTGGTAGATAAGTAATACTATGGAAATTATTTCTAAAATTGCTGCCTAATAACAATGTCAGTTACCTCAATCGTCGGAAGCAGTAATCCACTTTAATTGACCGCACACTACTTCAGGAGCCTGCATTTTCAGAGAGAGTTCACTTCAGTAAAGATTGCATTAAAATGGCATGGGCTATAAAAAACGTATTGAGAAGTTGTTCAATGACTTAATCGTACACTACAATTACTTCGCCAAAATCTTCTGGTTAAGCAATACAGATAAAAAAAACTTGCAGAAAAAGCACATATCCCCGGCTACAAACCTACGCAACTCATACGGCTACATCAAACAAACAATAATCTTTGAATATTTTCTGGTCGCTAACAAAATAGCAAACAAAACAAGTTTCAAAATCTTGAAGTTTTTGAAGCAATTCATATGCTGGAAGATAAAGCTCAGCTTATCGAATCTGCAAGGCAGGATAAATCAGATGGAAATTATTTGGGAAAGAAACAGTAAGGGGCTGTTGGGCAACAGGATTTATGCAGGATTTAAGCAGTCGGTAGATCTCACGGCGGAATAAATCCTCCGTTTCTCTATTTTTTTTTTTCCGTAAATCCCGAATTTACTATATCCTGGAGTTCGGCGGATTTACGGGATTTGGCTGAAGAAGCGCGCGAAAGAGAGAACGATAGTTGCCTTCACAGCGAGCAAGCTCCCATCGCTACGTCCGATCCAACAGAAAGAACGGCGAACTTTCGCGACTTCCGATCCGAGAGGAAGGAACGGCGTCGAAGGATGTACGAAGGCGAAGTAGGCTTTTTCGACTCGTTCAAAACCTACGTCACTCTATAAGAACGCAAGTCCAACACTAAAGAGAAGAAAGAGGTAATTAATTAAGAATTAAATTTAGTGATTTAATTAAAACAAATTCAAACACAAATCAATATTTAAGATTCAATCAAAGATCTCTTAGTTGCTATCTAATGCTAACAACCATGTTTGTACCTCCATCTGCTAAGAGAATTTCACTATTGATATCTGGGGCATCACAGATCGAGGCATCTACATAGATCTTTTTCAAATTAATTTAGCGAAATATAACAGTGATGTAGTATAAGGCAGAATTTATTGTTCTCTTAAGACATGCTCCATAGTTGATTAATATCTCAGATAATAATTATTGGCACAATATATTATAGAATTTTCTCAGTTAGTTGAGAGGGCTAATAGGATAAAGGTTGATTTAGACAATTCAACAGTGATAGGATGTGAGCAGGAAGAGGTTTGACAGTGAGATAGATGGTAGTAGCCATTTTGGAAAGAATAGCTAATTTAGACCTATTGAGTTTAGGAGGGGACAATCGATAGTGATTTCTTCTGGATCAAATAGAGGCAGCATTGACAGTTCTGACGGTTCAATCAGGGAGCCCCATTATATCAACAGTGTGGTAGGAGTGTAAGAACTATCATTTTGAAGTCAAGTAATTAGTCTCTTAAATGGAATTTTTTTAGTTTAATTAGTAATTATAAGGGTTATTAAGTTGTTTGGGGCTTAAAATGTTTGAAGAATTGGGTTGAGAAGTATGATGTTCATTTTTTTTTACTACAAGCGTTGCGATGCTAGATCTGAGTAGGGGTGTAAAAAATGGGTTGCGGGTTGGATTCTTGTCGAACCCGAGATTGACACGCAGTTATTTGACATAACTCGAACCTAACCTATTTTTGTAAACATGTCAAAAATTTCAACTCATACCTGCCCCATCAAATTACTGGGTTGACCAGTCTTGACCTGATTAGCCTAGCGTGCAGGATCCGATATGATGTCCTCACGCTCCCACTTGTGCAAATGAAGTAGAAGTTCGATGCAGAAGTCCAGTGCATGGTCCGGTGTGGTCCGATGCGGAAGTCCAATGTAGTAAATGGAGCGAAAGTCTTGTGCGGGGTCTCAGGTCTGGTGCGATGTTGCGGGGGCACGGGCTTAGGGGCAGAATGTGCTGCAGGGCAGGCACAGGCGAAGCTAGTTGCAAGAGAACATGGCTACATGGGCAGCGATGGGAACCAAGTGAGTGCTACGGGACGAATACGTCTTGTCGGGCGAACATAGGCGAGGTTGGCCGCAGGATAGCGCGTATTGTGGCATTTATTATCTAGCATTGCTATACACATCTCATATTATTTAAAGATTTTTTTTTTTTTTAGATTAAGTAGTCTTTCGTTTTACATTACATTCAATAATGACTTTGTGTTGTATATAAATTAAAAATTTTTATTTCAGTACTTCTCCATCTATATCTTATGATCAGTCTTACTACAATTAGATACGATATGACCTATATGGTGTCAGATCATATTAGGTCGAGCTGTGACAGAAACCTCTCTCCTTCAGTAGCAACATGAATTACATAAATAAAAGAATTTTTTTTCTTTTAACTTGGATAAACTATAATAGTATAATTCTTGAACTAATGTCACTGAATGGTTATAGCTGAATTTGTTATATTACATCTACATTGATCTCTTACTATTGTATTAACCATGCAGTAATATTTGATCAAGACAAAGGATCACATGTGTGTATCTATTATGTTCAAACCTTAACTAAATGTTGACACGTATTCAAACTATGTAATTGAAGTGGTCTTATATTGAGTTTAAAGTTAGCTCAGCATAGTTCAAACAAATTTTGATTTTTTTTTTAATATTGTTCAACCCTATTCAAACCTTGTTCCATGCTTATTTGATGTTTAATCATTATTGGTTGTGGCTTCTTAAATAAGTACTCCATTGTGTGTGTATTTTAGTCTAAAGGAAACTTTAGAGCATATTTACCCAACAAATAAAATAATGCTCATTTTTATATAATTTTTGCTATTATTGGGTATATAAGTCAACATTTCTTTTTATTTGGATTCTTATTTAATTTTATTTTTTTAAAACATGCAGCATAATAGTACCTAGAAATACGAAAAATATGACCACTAATTATTTTCTTAAAAAAACATTTCCGAAAATTTATTTCAAAATAAAATACCCTGCTATATAAAAAGAATGACACCAATTTATTCCTTCCTACTCCTAATTTCTCCATTAATGGCATCATCATACCTTAATCCAAGATTTCCTTATTTAGGTAGGGTTTGATATTTTTTAATTCTTCCATAGCTATAGTATAAATGGATATTCTTTTTTTTTTATGATGTTCCTAACATATATCATAGATTATGTGAGAGCTTTAACAAAGAGCTAGATAGAGCTAGTATGAAAAAGTGTTTCTTGATTCAAGTTAAAATATATGATTGAACTATATTTTGACTTTATCCAAAGCATAAATGAATATGATTCGAGCATATTCAAAGAAATGTTCATACTTAACTCCAACCATATTGATAAATCAATACTTGATCGAATAATGTTTGAATCTTGTTCAATCATAATTTGAATGAAGTTCGAACATAATTCACACTCGTTCATGAATAATATAATCTAAATAAGGTACAATAATATTTTTAAATTATGTTCCAACATGGTTCTAATAATGTTTGAATAAGCATTTTTTTTTTACATAGGCTTCGTTTAAAACGGCTTTCTTTATGCTTCTTAAACAAGCTTTTTAGAACAAAAATTAAAATTTTTATACTAAAAGTTACTTTAAGAAGCAGAAAGAAAGCCGCCCCAAATGAAGCTATAGTTCAATCAATGTTTAAACATGTTTGAACCATGGTAGATCGAGTTCAATCAATGTTTAACAATGTTCAAATGATAATAAACTTATATGTTGATGAGTTATTTTTTATAATTAAATCAATATCAACATTCTTGCACATTATGGTGGAGAATGGTTGAACAATTAAAAAAAAAAAAAGATTAAAGTATTGATGGTACATATAAATATTTTTCTTGAAAAATTTATGGGGATCTTCTATACAAAATGATAGGGGTTGATAGGAATCAATTTGCTATGAAATTGGAGATGATGTACCACTTTGATGAATAATGCATTATTATGATTTCTAATAAGATATCTTACTTATCATTTCCATTATCGATCTCTATCATATGCGTCTCACAAACTACAAAGAGTGATTATTGGACTTTGTTATTTTTATTAGCGCAAAGAAGTGTATTAATTTAGTTTATTATTGATGTTAGGGATGCATAAGTGGACTTACCAAATGTAAGATTATGTTATATCAAATGTGGATTAAGGGGTCTGCAAACGATCGATTCGAGCTCGAGCCTAAGGGGCGCTGTTCGAGTCAGAGCCGCTACCAAATAACTAGAGCTCTGCCAGCTCGACTCGTCTCACGAAATCGCTAGGTCGAACGCCGCAGGCGTGACTCGTACGCAGCCAGATGCTCTCGTTACGCGGAATTCACATGCCTCCCGAAAAACCCCCAACTTCCCCGGTCCCGGCCGCCAGACGCCGACGCTAATTCTCGTTAGCCTAGCTGCCACCGAATCCCGCCCAACGCAAATCGCTACGCTCTTCGCTCCGGTCCGCCCCGATTTAACTCCCGCTCCTCAGAATTCCGCCTGCCCGATTTAGCCCAAGCCTTCCCGTATGCCGCCCGCGCCCAGATCCTGCAATCGCTCGCTCCCGGTCCTCCCGCAGACGCGACGCGACACGCTCCCGACCCGAGCTACTCGACGAGCCAATGAGTCGAATTCAGCCCAGGTCCGAGCTCGAGCCGTTTTAGCTGTTCGAGCTCAGAACATTGTGTCGAGCTCGACTCGCGCAGCTAGATACAACCTCGAACTTGCCGAGCTCGATAAGCCTCCGACTCGTTTCTAGTAGTGCCCCGTTAATTTTTAACGAGTCAAGCCCGAGCCGGCTCGCAAGCTCGACTTGGACTCGGTTGCCCCCTTAAAAGTGGACATACCAAATGTAAGATATGTGATAATGTGGACATATATATACATACAACATGCATAACTTGTGATGTTGTGGATATACAAGCTACAAATGATAGTAATTTCATTTCAGTACAAATAACAACAAAAGTTTGTTCTCCATAGATTAAGATTTTGTTTGGGATGACTTTCTCACTTCTTTCATAAAGCGGTTTTATAGTACAAAAATTATTGAAAAGTTGCTTTAATTTGTTGTTTTAAGAAGCAATGAGAAAGACATCCTAAACCAAATCTAAGTGATCTCTCAGCAAAAGCAAAAACTCATAGTGAGATGTGATCTTAAGCATTGTCCTTATTTAAGGCGCATATCAAAAGGCCCTCAAGATATTTTTAATACATATATAATTGAGTTGTACTAAGCTAGACACTACAAGAAAATCTGTCATTACCGTCGTACTTTCCGGCGGATAGACGTACGCTAGAAAATCCAGCGGCCTAATCAGCGAAATATATGCCAGTAACTTAACGGAGAATTTTTTGCCGTTAGAATACCTCCACGTACATATTCTGACGGGTTTTCGCTGGTATTTAAAAATTTTCCTGCTCAATTTCCGCCGATATCTAGAGCCAGAGTGCACCAGCATCCTTTAAAAGCTTAACAAGATTGCCACAAAGATGAAGAGACATTACTCTATCAGTAGATCCTATCAATCTTCCTCCAATAAACACCACTGGAACTGGAGGATTTCTCCCAATGAGGTTAGCTAGAGCACCTTCCATCTCCTTTCCTTGATCCTCCTCGTCCAGCTCATGTACATCAACATTAACACCGAGATCATAGAACAAACTCTTCACTGTGTGACTCATGCAGCACGAGCTTAAGCTGAAGATCACCACTGGCTTCTTAGACACCAAACTGTTCACCTTCTCCATTGCCAGTTCTTCACTTTTCAGCTAGAAAATATAATACAATTTACCGGGAGAATGCAAAAAGAGCTTATAAGAGCATGGAATAGATTTTTTTCATTAAGGAATTAATTTAATTTGAACTAAAAAGAAGTTCGGATAAGCAGGTGGAAAATCCAAGTATCTATAATGATGGCTTGGTCTGGAGGTGTCAGGAAGATATCTGACTTTTATATGGAGGAGTTGAGCTTTGTTGACCTTTTGGTCTTGCAGAAATGGGCAAAGAGACATGGGAAGGTTGGAATGTTTGGAATATTTGAGAGAGATATTGCTCATGTGATAAAAGTGGCGTGGCTTCGCCGTATCAAGATAAGATTTTGATTCTTTCTATTTTGATATTCTACATTGGATGCTGAAGCGACTGACATGCTTTTCAGCATGAGTTCCTGTATACTTTTGCTGCAGCCTCCTACAGAACAATCCCTCTATCATCACGTCTCTTTTTTTTTCCCCACATATTGCTATGAAAGAAAATAAACATTACAAGAAAAGAAAATATCTGATCCAAAAAAAGCTAAAAGAAAAAAATAGATTAAAGAGGACGTAAAAAGAACCCAAAACTATACCACCCAATACAACTTAGAAAAGAAAAGAAGAGCCAAAACATGAGTAGCAAAAACCAACACTCAGGTTGCAGAAAGAACTTAAGACCGTCAAATTCATCAAAGATGATCAGAATTCCCCTGGTTGTCGACTAGACCATCCAAGAGGAAGAAGGAATTGTAGCAGTCATCATTGTCCATAAGAAAATTCTCAAGGCGACAGGGACGTTGCCCTTGGCTGCCAATGAGGCCGTATAGGGGTAGAGCAACAGATCCAGCAAAAGAGAACTCTAGCGCCAAGCAATCAGGAACTATCAAGAAGAAGCGGCAGCAGAAAACATCCAGCCACAAAAAAGGCAATGAAAAAACCAGCTCATGCAAGATGTTGCCTAAGATTTGAGCATTTTTCCGGTTCTCCATTTTGTAAAGTAATGCCCTTTTAATCTTTCTAGCCACAATATTTTAACAATCAATGATATTTCTGAAAAGTATGTCATTGCGGGCTCGACAAATGAAATAGATACCAACATTAATCATAAGAAAGTAGAGATAGCGAATATCCTTATTGTCATTAATTATTATCTTCAATAAAGTTGTAAGCCTGGAAAAGGTTAGGCCGAAGGAGTAGAGTTTGGAATTAAGAGATTAGACGATGAAGTAGAATACCAAATGAAAAATCATACTCAAAAAAGAGATGTGAGTGAGTTTCAGGAGCCATTGCACAGAATTTACAGGTGGGATTAACAGAAATACCACGACGAGATAGTTGGTATGCAATTTTAAGACCACATTTAAATGCAAGCCAAGCAAAAGAAGAGAATCTCAGAGCAAAGCATTTGTGCCAAATAAATTTGTGCCTGCTAACAGTAAGGAGTTATAATAATAATATTTTTTAAAGCTACGAAAGGTGTCTTTATCAGAGTTTTGCCAAAGACTTCCTATACCCAGGCTCATAATAGGCACCACTTAATTTCAGAAATGATATTAGAAGGAAGAAAGGCAGGAGCAGACCAACTCTCATTATGAATAATGTTGCAGACATTCCAATGTTATAATTCTCAAATCTCAGGAGAAAATGCAGAGAAGTCATTCGGTCCATAATAGAGCTACCTTGACACCAAGGATCTCATATAAGAGAAAATTTGTTGTTATAGTGGATCCTGAGCAAGAGACATTGCTTGATATTTTGAGCAACATAGCATAATTTTTTTCAATAGCTATAGCAGTGTTTAGGGGCAGGACACCACAGGGAGTGATAATGCCTTCTCCACTAGTCAAACAGAGGGTTATCAGCATTAATAAATCTCCAAATAATAGAACAACTGAATCCATAGGAGAGAGAGTCAGTGTATGGGAGAGCAGATTTTGGTTATAGTTTTGCAGCAGGCTTTTGGAATAATAGACCCTCTGATCTAGTAAGTAAGAGTGCTGAAAATAATGTATCTAAGGTATTGAATTCTGCTAGCAAAAGAGAGGGTTTTAGCTTTTCAACCTTGAAGAACTCTAGTGATTTTCTTGATAAGAGGTTGGAAGTCAGCTTGAACAAATTTTTTCATGAATATAGGAAGTCTAAGACATTTTATGGGACTATGGGTTTGTTGGATATTCAAAATATTACAAATACCCTCACTCAAAGAGTAGTTTCTGGAGAAGAGAATAGAGCTTTAAATGGGGTTAATATGAAGACCCGACACCATAGCAAAACAATACATAAGAGCTTTGAGACTTCTTGCATTTTCTTGATTGGACTTAGCAAAAACAAGCAAATCATCAGCATATAAAAAGATGAGTTATAAAGGCATTACCCACGGAGATCCCAGTAAATTCGTGGTTTACCACTGCTTCTTCAAACAAGAAGAAAGCCCATACATCCATAACAATGGAGAAAACATACGGGGATAATGTACATCCTTGACTTAAGCCGGAAGATGAGTTAAAATAACCCTCAAGTGCACCATTAATCGCCATCGAGAAAATCAATATAAATAATACAAGATTTACTCCAAGGGATAAAAACAGTTGGGAAACCTTTGTCATGGAGGCGGTCCAACAAGAATTGCCTAGAAACTAAATCAAAGGCTTTGTGGATATCAAATTTAGCACATAAATATTTATCTTTGGCTCTCAAATTGAAGTTGGCTAGAAGTTCAGTGGCAATGATGATGTTATCAGAAATGATGTGATTCTTAATAAAGCCAGTTTGACTCGATCTGATGTAAAATATATGACATAACACATTTCATCTTATTAGCCAGCATCTTGGCTATTGTAAAAGGAGTTGCATAATAAAATAGGTTTGTAATCAGTGACAGATTATAAGCATGAGGTTGTTTAGGGATAGAGCAATGACAGTATTTTTGGCTTGTTCAGGCATAAACGAAGAGGTAAAAAAAGGATAACACAACATCACAAACTTGTTTGCCAATAACATTCCAAGTAGCTTTATAGAATTTAAATGTATAACCGTCCGGGACCGGGTTGCATTAGTTGGGGCAAAGAAGATGACCTGTTTTATTTCATCCACAGTGACTGGGGCAACCAAACCACCTAATAAAGGAAGAGGTATAACGTTCCTAGTAGGAATAGGATCAGTATTAGAGTGGGAATGATTAGGAGCATTGAACAAGCTTTTGTAATGGTTTATAAATGCATTGTAAATATCAAGGGTGGTTGTATATAAAACTCCATTAAAAAAGATGATTCTAATCAGGTTGGTGTTGTTTATGTATTTGATCTTAAAATAGAGAAACTTCAAGTCATCCTCTCCAGAGGAGAGCCATTTTGCTTTTACTCTTTGAGAGATCCAGTCAAACCAGCGGGCTTGAGTCGAAGAGAGCTTAAGGTTGATATATTTAAGCCCAACATTAAGAGACAGGTTCAAAGGAGAATCCTGGATGTGAGTAAGTAAGTCATTTTGAGCAGTGGAAAGGTCCTCAATTTCACCTTTACGAACATTGGAAGAGTTCCAGTTTCTATATTTGATATGGTGTTTAAGTTCTTTGAGCTTATGGTAATTAAAGGTCACAAATTAATAGGGCTAGCATAGGCTGGTTAGGATAAAACCTTCATAACATCCTCCCAAAAAGTAGGGATATTATGTCAGTAGTTCTTATACATGAAGAGATGATTATGTTTAGCAATGATGTCAGCTTGTAGGGTGATGGGGCAATGATTTGAGATGTATGGATCTCCAACATAGTAGAAGGAGTTTGGGTAAATACTCAACCAAGTGTCATTCGTAAAAACTCTATCCAACTTAATATGGATAGGGTTATCAGTTCTCTGATTGTACCAAATATAGAAATGTCCCATCGAAGCCAAGTCATAAACACCAGTTTTAATTAAAGACGAAGTTATTAAGTTCCCCAGGTTTACTTCCCACCAACCTTTTCATAGGAGTACCTACAATAGTTAAAGTCACCAAGGATAGCCCACAGTGAGGATATATTCCCAGTAATTTATGTGATTTGGTTCTAGAGAAGTTGTCTCTTGTTGACACAGTTTGACACATAGACAACATAAATACATCAAATACCAGCATTACCAACTTGAACCAGTCCATGAATAAGTTGACTAGATGTAACAATGGCTTAAAAGTAACCCTTTGTGCATTCCATTTGATCCAAAATACGACCAGGGCTAAACAAAGAGAAATTGTCATAAGAGTCCTCATGTGAAAAAATTGAGTGAGAAGAAATAAACCAATTGTCAGCTACAGACACAAGGGGGATTTTGGCTTCCAGGATAAACAACAGATCCATGTTAAATTTTTTAATAAGGGTCTTACAAGATATGACTTTGGAGGAGTTGTTAAATCCCTTGATATTCCAGAAAGTCATACGTGGGAGAGACATTTGGATTTATTGTGGTTATTGGACGCCTTTTTGGTGTTTATGTTTCTAGTGGTCTTGGAGCTGTGCTCAATAGCAGGTTGGTCATGGCTGTTGCCATTACTATTGTTATTATTAGGATTTGGGCTGTGAGTAGAGGTATGTTGAGGGGAGGGTGAATTCTGGGGTGTAGTTTGGGCTGTGGGGTTGAGTTGAACAGAGGTGCAACTTTGTGGAGAAATAGTAATGGCACGTTTGAGGTATGCTTCATTCTCTTAGTTTAGAGAAATTATTATGCGAGGGCACTAGATATAGAATTACGTTGGGACTCCAAAAAAAATATGATATGTGAATTAATGTATTATTAGATATTATGTGTATTAGTATGTATTAGTTGTGTATTGATGTGTATTCGTTATGTATTATTGTGTATGAGTCAATACACAACCAATACACAACAATACATAACAATATATATATTTTTATGTCGTGTTGTATATTTGTATGTATTGGTATGCATTAGCTGTGCATTATTGTGTACTAGCTAATACTTGCACAACTAATACATAATAATACATAGTTAATACATAGTAATACCTAGTAATACAATAGTCCATGTGTCACCTTTTTATTGAAGCCCGGACGTAGCTCTATGTCTGATGTCTGCAAGTAATAATTTCTCCTTAACTTGAAATCAAGCATTGTTTGTTTGGACTTTGGCGTTGATCATTAAAATAAAATCCCAGGGCCATATGGGTTAACATCTAAAATTTTTATAGATAACTAGGATATTGTGGGTTCTCAAATCATTTAGATTGTTTAGCATTTCTTAAGGCATCGTTGATTACCAAATGTTGTGAAGCATATGACTAGTTCTCTTTTATATAAGCCCTCTCGTGTTAAATCTCTAGTTGATTCTAGACTCATTTATGTATGTAACATTTTTTATTAAATGATTGATGAACTTTTTCTAGCATATTCTAGATTGTTCTCATGATATTATCAATACATCACATACTAATTTTTTTGGCATTTGTGCTATTAAAAGCATTAGGGGTGTCAATATTTGACCCAACCCGAAACCCGACCTAAAAAATTTGAGGTTCGGGCCAACTTATTTGCAATACGAGTCGGATTTGGGTTTGAGATTTCAACTCATTTGTAAATCTGGGTCGGATTCGAGTTAACCTGGAAGCCCAAAATTAACCCAACTTGAACTCCTCTTTTTAATGAAGCTTCTCATTCACGCTGGATATTATAAATCAAGATGTGGAGTCGTCGATGACAACTAATATGACAAAAAAGGTTCACGATAATTTTGCAGTTGTTGACCTCCACCTTTGTCCTCTCTTTCACATAATCTCGTCAAAGGAAGATACCATTTCTCTGTTGCTCTCCTCCACCGCTGTAGCCGCTTACCATGGCGGTTTCCGACAATCCTTATCACTGTTTCGATGACGTAATCAGTAATGGCACCAATGGAAAATTTCATGATTACCGCATCGAGCTTCCTGAAGGAAAGTACCAGCTCGCCCAAGATGCAAAATACCTAATCGAAGCCCTCTGTCTGCCCTTCCATCTCCATGACATTCTAACCATCGTTAGCAATGGTCCCTTTGTCGGTCAGGTCGATGCGCGCTCGTCTTCAGGTTAACTCACCTGGTCTGGCGGCGCCGGCATGTGATTTTACTCTCCGACTCGCCGCAAGAGTGATATATAGATATATAATCACTATTTCGTTGGGGGAGGGTTCCGAGACTATAGTTCTCGGCGGCGGGTGATATAGAGATAACATTTCAGGTTAATCCGAGCCCGAATTAGATCGGGTTCCGATTTGGAATCCCGATCCGAAGACTCATTTTGACACCCCTAAAAAGCATTAACTATGTGCAATGCTGAGATGTTAATTTGTGCTAAAATTAATGATGACAACAACAACAATAACATCAAGCTTTTATTTTACTACGTGTGCTTGACTACATGAATCTTTTTTCTCTATTGCCATGTGAAGAGTCAAATTCTCATATAAATTTAATAAAAATATCAGTAACCATCTAAGACAATTATCTTCAACTGTAACTACTCCAACATTTTATTTAACAAACAATTATAAATAGTAATTAAAAAAATTGTGTTCAACTATATTATTTTTTATATTTAATGTATTAGTTTAATCTATTTATATATAGTTGATTTGGAATGTAGATTTATTTTTAAAATGCTTAGAAGAATCATACAAAACTTTAATGCATTTGAAGTAGTTCTGGCAGAGCTAGCAACTTCCGATGAGCCCAAAAAAAAAAAAAAAAATTAAATAGGAGATTTTCAAAGAACATAATTGAGCATGAGCCAAACTCTAAAGAAAACAATCGAATGAACATAACATTAACATATATCAAGCTTTTCCATTTATTATTTTCTTTTCTTTTAATTAGGTGGGATCGAAAGCTCTTTGGGTTCTTATTTTCTTTTTATTCAGAGCTCATTGAGCATCTAGTAAGCTTTGATCCCTTTAAAGACCTTGTATTACTTTTTGCTGAATGAAATAAAATCGGTGATCATATATGAGTTTTCTAATATATATATATATATAAAAAGCTTGTCCAAACCTAGTCAATTCCTCATAGTGTGCAAAGGTAAAGAGAGAGAGAGAGAGAGAGAGAGAGAGAGAGAGAGAGAGAAGTTATAGGAACAATTTATTAGGTCCCGACAGACGTAGAGGAACGTCCGCAGCACTAAAATCCCGCCAAAAAATTACGTATTTGCTCGGTATTGCTAGGTATTATTTGTAATAACGAGGAATACCGCTCTGTGAAGACCAATACCGAGTTATACGAGCGTATACCAAGCAATTACCGAGTTAGACAAAAAAAAATTACCGAGCAATACGAGTTAGACAAAAAAAATTACCAGTTTTTTCATAGGAAACAAACTCGGATTTTTTGTTATAACTCCAGTATTGTCTGTAAACTCATATTGGAGTTTTCGCATGATGGTATTCCTCGTTATTGTTTGGGTTATTGCTCGTTTGCTCGAATATTTCCGTTTTTGGGCGCGATTTTAGCTCCGATCGGACTAAGCTCTACGTCCGATACATCCGATCGGAGGACCTTTAATTAATTTGTTTCGAAGTAAGACACATGATAAAGTCAAATTTCTTACTAAAGCTATTTATCGAACTCCAATCGCTAACTAATTAATGGATGATTAAGCCCCATGCACTTAATTATTTAATTGACTGTTATTTTGGCGGCCTAAAACTAAAATCACTATATCTAAAACTTTCATATATATAATAATTGAAGAAAAATATCAAACTTTAAAAGCTTGGCCTAAATCAGTTTGAGTCTAGATATTTCTATAATGTGTTGATATTATAATTGATAAAATAAAATAAAATTATCTATAATCAAATAAATAAACGATATATTATATTGTAGCTTTGTTAACGCATACTCCAAATTGTTTTTTAATCACATAAACAATACGAAGCTTTTTCCAATACAATAAATGTGATCAATCTTATAAGGCTTCGTTTTGGACAATATTTAACTGTTTTTATAAAGTAGGCTGTTAAATACAAAATTTTTTTAGCAGAAAATTTTTATGGGATGAAAGAAAGTTTCATTTTTTTTATTAATATTATTTTTATTCAATTACTCATTAATTTAAACTTTGAATTAAGTATTAGATATATTAATGGAATCAAGCCAATCAAAAACCGTCTAATTAATTTTTTGCCAAATTACTCTCATATGTTAAATTGGAATATCATCGAGGCATATGATCAGTACCATGAGTGTGATTGGCGAGACACAAAACAATCAAGCAATGACTGTGATCTGGATAAAGGGCACAACAATTGAGCGGATGATTGTGAATCGGGTGTGGCAAACAAGATTCTAAGCGAACCAATTAGACTATGGTGCAAGAGTGAGAGATGGTTGCGATCGCAGTGAGTACCGCAGGATCAAAACAACAATCAAATCTTGTGAATGCCACAACAGATCAAGCGACGATCGTGATCATAGTGAGGCACGCACGATCGACCGAACCAGTAAATGTATGTAGCATGAATATGTAAGTAGTTCTAATAAAGAAGTTTGAATTCGAATCATCGAGTGTGTGAATATTACAATAATCGAATCAAAACGCAACCAAGGTGCATGTGCTGATAGTCGAGTTCAAGCATGACCAAAGTGAGGTCAATATCACCACCTTACGCACTAATATTAGTTTTTCTAGCTCTAACCCATCAATAACATACTAGTTGGATCGGGTGTCACTCTGTAACAATTTGAATCCAAAGGTTTATAATTTGGAAGTTAAGACTAATCTAGATCAGGTAAGGAGAATGCAAGCTTGTATCTAATTAGCTTAGTGATAGTGTACATGAGTACTAGTATAAAATAATATGAAAATTCCTTTTACTTAGGTCTTTTTGGGGTGCGCGTAGTTTTATATAAAGATTTTGTTAAGCTGATCATGATATTGTGAAGCAACTTTTATTTAAAGTTGAATGTAGAAAGTAGCTTCGTGGGGCAAAAAATTAATTAACAGCAGTTAGAAAACACGTGGTCAAATAAAATCATTGACTGCATCCCAAAAAGCCATAGGAAGCCGTTAAAGCTACTACGAAGCCTATCCTTAAGCTAGTGCTTTCATCTTCTAAGGAATTTTTTTTTTAAATTCAATATCATGATTATCTAGAACAAACTACAAAGTAAATAAAATTAATAAATAAAAATAAACTCTAAAATCTAATAGATTTCCTGATAGCCTAATCAAAAATTTGATTCTTTGACAATTTGAAGTGGTCACATGGGAGTTACTGTTTCTTTCCCAAAATTTCTTCAATTTCTCATCACTAAAATAGTTAAAAAAACATTTCTGTTAACAAACAATAAATATCATCAAATTTTATTAAATAGCAGATAAACTAGACGAAAAAAGCACTTCGCGGCTCTTTATTTTTTTCCCAATATAATATATATATATATATATATATATATATATATTATATATATATTATATATATAAAACATTATATATATATATATATATATATATATATATATGCTTTGAGATTAGTGAAATATAGAATTTTAACATTCTTCAGATTATTTATTTTTCTTTAAATAAATAGCTATAAGGTCATACATATAAGAATTAATCTAGCTAGTGAATATTTTAATAATTTAAGAAAGATCACATACACAACTCAAATTTATGCTCTAGATCTTTACAATATATTAACTGATCTCTCAAGTCTCAACATAAAAAACTCCTTATTTGCAGCAGATATATAAAAAAGCCATGGTGAGGAGTGGTTGGAGCAAAGCTACAGCCAGAGACCACCTGCTTCCCTGAGTAGCTGAACAAGATTGCCACCGAGATGAAGAGACATTACTGTATCAGTAGAGCCTATCAGTCTTCCTCCAATGAACACCAATGGCACCGGACAACTACATCCAATAAGCTTTCCAAGATCTCTCTGCATCTCCCTCCCCTCCGGCTCCTCGTCGAGCTCGTGTACATCGACATTAACGCCGAGGTCGAAGAACAGCCTCTTTACAGTATGACACATACAGCATGAACTTAAGCTGAAGATCACCACTGGCTTTTGAGAGACCAGCCTGTTCACTTTCTCCATTTGAGTCACAATTTGATTTGGATGCATTGTGGTTGTAATGCTAGTTATAACTTCCTATTTATAATAAGAAGACTCTTCATCAGTATTGAAAAGAGGTGGCTCTTCGTTAGTCTTTCAGAAACGACAAGGAAATATAGGAAGGTTGGAATATTTGAGAAGATATAGCACATGGATTACACGTCCTATATACTGCTTCACTGTTTTGAGAATGCTCTTTTATCCTTCATGACATGGAAGATAAGATTTTGATTCTTTCTTTTTTTTGGATATTTTATGCTGGATGCCAAAGTGATTTATAAGTGAAGAAGTGGTCGATCTTCTTTGCATGAGATCCTACATGATTTTGCCACTTGGCCTCTTGAGGAATATAAAGGTATGGATATCTTGGTTCAAACAAGACCATCATGCATTCACTATAGTATGAGAACTATCATACTTGGCTAGGAGACACATTCGACTGACTTACCACCTCAACCGCTGTGCCTCATAAGCGAAATTCACCTCATGTTGCGCCCTGACTCACACATACAATATATATGTATTACTCGAACCTAATACCTCTTAATTGATAACCAAAACACTCAACAAACAAATCAAAGAGAATTACGTATAATTTAAATGAAATTCACCTCATGTTATAATTTAAGTTAACTAAGATTAAATGATAAGAAAATTTTAAGTAAATATGTACTCTCTACTCCTTCATGAACTTGCTCCCTTACATATTTGTTTATTCCTAGCTTCTCCCACACCTGCTCAAGCTTGCTCCCAAAATTTGTAAGCTCAATGACTATGCTTGGTTAGTCCCCTTATCAACTTTACTCCCTTGTCCACTACTTAACAGCATAAATTGCTCATTCTTCTCATGACTCACCTTGCCTTGTCAAGCCACTAACCTACCTGTTACATATTGGCAAGAAGCACGCTCACTGGCCGGTGCCTGTAGGTGCATCTTTCATTACAGAAATTGGAGATTTTTAACTCTATCAATGCCTCTCTGTGATCATTAAAACCATGCGATAAATCCATTATGTATTTACACTATAGGAAATTCATCAATTACCGGCGGTTCTCCAACCGCCGGTATTAACGGCGGTGTGACCGCCGGTTTGTACCGTCGGTCTAACCGGCTATTATTTTAATATAGCTGCCGGACAAAGTGGCGGTCCAGAAACCGCCGGTTAAACGGCCGGCATTAAATCTTATCGGCGCGTATTTTTTTGTGCAGATTTAGAGTTTAGGGTGAAAATTTCTCAAATAGAGGTGAGGCCGCCGGAAACTTCGATACCGGACTGCTAATTAACGCCGTTGGAAAACTTTTAAAACCGTCAGTCAACACCAGCCGGTAACAAAACCGTCGGTCTTAATCGCCGGTAACAAAACCGGCGGTCACCGGCGCTTATACTGTCGAAACTCGAAAGCTAACCGGCGGTTGACTGACCGGTACGCCACTGGTAACAAAACCGGCCGTCACCGGCACTTAGACCGACGGTATTAACTGCCGAAAAACCGCCGGTGAAACAAATCGCCGATAAAACACCGACGTTTT